ACACATTGATTTTGAAAACGAAACAAGCGAGGACAAGGGCGATCTGCCCCACCTGTGCTCGGGAATCGAACCCCGCAACTCCGCGTGTTCCAACTCTACTTGAACTACAGGAGGTCGGTAAGCTAGGGAGTAGCCAATGCAGCAGTATAAAGTGCACATGAGCGGGGGGCGCAGACCGCCACTGGTGGAGGAGAGGCAACTAACAGGCCGCCCCGCCCAACCGTGAGAAACAAGGGTTCGCCGCCGATCCGAAGACATTCATTTGGGCAAATGAGTCAACACCTACATTAACACACATAGCGGGGCCTCACCGCGCAAAACACGCCTACGAACGACGAACGACCTACGAACGACCTCGGGAATTGTTGGCAACGCTATAACGCGCACGGTAAAAACGACGTCCTGGTTTTCATGACGTTTGGAAAACCATGACGATTTCTATGCATTTTTTCCATAAGACGTAATGGTTTTTCCAAAAAGTCATGAAAGCTAGGACGCCGTTTTTACCGTGCCCGAACATTATCGTTATAACCGTAACATTTTTACCCTGCACTGGTAAAACAAATGTAGAAAGTTGCACACCAAATGATGTGCAGTCTGAAGGGTGCAAAAACTAAACACTTCATCATGTCAAACTCAACTTGACGTCAATTGGTGTGCAAATATTATACGTTTTATTTACGTTTTGATAACTGCACTGAAAAAACAAAGCTGCTATTTAATGCCTTTTAAAGGCGTTAGTGAAATAGTTCCTCTAGAAAGGTGCTGCTGCCCCCCAAAGGTGCTACTTTTGTTACAAATCGTTCCTCTAAAAAGGCACTAGTGCAGCAGCACCCCTTAAAACTCAATAGCATTCTCAAAAGGGTGCCTTTGTTTTTTCAGTGTAGTGTTCAATATTTGCACACTACTAAGTGGGCGGCTCAGTTTAACACCATGGCATGTGCAAAATCATCAGTTGAACACTTAAGGGTGCAATATTTGCACACTTGTATTGTGGACCTGCTGACCCGGGGCGGGGATCAGTGGCGCCGCCGAGGCCGCCACACGTCTATGGGTGCAGGGCCAGGGCCAGGGCTAGTGCCGGCTGGGCGGACCTCTCAAACAAAAGGAACCGGAAACAAATAATAATCGCCATCTTTTGATATGTTGTTGTACCCCGCAATTCAAAACGCGCGAATAGTTATTTGCAGAGTGAACAGGAAAAAAAACTCCACACTTTGATGTCTTTTCGCCTTCCGCGACGGCGTTAGAATAGCTCGTGGCCAGGAGCGACCGCCGGTATCTCGCCTCCATGGCCCAGTCGGTAGAGCACCCGCCCAGAACGTCGCAGGTCGACGGTTCGACTCCACGCTCGGCAACATTTTTCGCTTTCCGCTTGGTGTTAGTGCAAGGCCCCAGGGCCGACCTGAAGTTCAAGTAGAATTGGAACACGGCTCACCTCCGTTGGCTGGGTAGCT